TGGTGGCATTGTGGGCTAAGCAGATGGATAGGGTGGGGCGGCCTGAACCATCCATGGAACAGCTGCACCAATATCCCATCTTGCCACTAGCCATGGACAACAAGCATGGTGGCCCTTGCCCTCATCCATCCTCCCCAGTCTCCGCTGCCTTCCCGCAGGCTCCGGACAGACGAACGCCAGCCTTTACCTCCAAGGGAGGGTCCTTTGGGAAATGGTGAACTCACACTAGGGAGGGGGCCAAATAACCACAAGGGTCAGGCAGTGGGGTGAGTGTCCTTGATCCTTGGCAGATGTGAGAACGTCTGCTTCAAGGGGTCCCCTGCCCATCAGAGTAGAATATAATGAAGCCGGCCATAAAGTCTCTAGCCACATGCTAGCTATCATCCATTTGAGAGAGAGAAGACAGCATGTTTTTATAACATTTGCTTTTTTGTCAACTTAAACAGATCATATGCTTAGTACTAAAAAAAAAAAAAAAAGTAGAATAGAGCAAGCAGAAAATCAGTGGTTTTGTATATGGCATTTCCCTGGGTCAATAAATACCTTTACCAGGATTTTTAAAATTATTATTTTGAAATCATTTTAGGTCTAAAAGTTGCAAAAACACTACTGAGAGCTCCCATACACTCTTGATCCAACTTTCCCTAGAGTTAGCATTCCCGTAATCACAGAGCAGGGAGCAGAGCCAGGAAGTCAGCGTGAATTCCATTGCTGTTAACTGTAGACTGTACTCCTGTTCCTCCAGTTGCTCCACAACTGCCCTGATTCTAGTCCAAGATTGACTCTACAACCTCACTTGGCATTTACTTCAGGTCTCAATGATGCCTGCCAATCTGACCATTCTTGTGCATGGTGAAGATGGTGGCGTGCACCCCAATTCTTCACTGTGAAGTTATCATTTTCTAGGATAGTTTTTGGGGGGCAACATGACTTTCTGTTGTTGAATGCTACCATAATTTGGCCCTCTCTGTACACTTCCTGTGTTCCTTTTTTATCTTTTTCAGTGTTACAAAGAATGTCGCTGTGAGGTGACCATTTGGCGCATTGTTTCCAATTGTGCACACGTTCCAAGTGATTTTGTTAGGACATATTTTTCCGTGTAGAATTAGCTGGAACAAAGATTCTTTGCTTTTTGAAGGCTATGGACGGGGTTATCTGTTTGTTTATTCATTTGTTTGTTTTAATCCACTTTACAAAGATACAATTTAAATTGAGAAGAATGCGGGGAACTACATGAAGCATATGTTTCCATGTGTTGTAGCAAATATAAACCCACGCCATGGAGTTGATTCTGACTTATAGGGACCTTATATAGAATTTATTAGGCTGTAAATCTATATAAGAGCAGATAGCCTCAACTTTCTCTCTTGGAGCTGCTGGTGGGTTTAAGTTGCCAACCTTTCAGTTAGCAGTTCAACGTATATCCAAGTAACCACCATTTCTATTAAAATGGAAAATATTCCCATAACCCCCATAATTGCCTCATGCCCCTTACCAGTATATCCCAGGAAACCACTCAGGTGATTTCTAACCCCACAGGTTAGCATTACCTAATCTCAAAATCCATCAAAACCAGAATCAGATAATATATACTCATATATATAGCAATTGTCCTTGATTATCTGTGAGATTCACTCACGTTGTTTATCAACCATCTCTTTACCTCTCTGCTGAGTCGTTAGTACCTTATTGTGAAATAGATCACAATGTGTCTATCGGTTCCTTCAACGATAGACATTGGCGCTTTTTCCTGTTCCAGGGCATGATGACTAGAGGTTCCATGAACATTTGCACAAAAATGAACATTATGTTGTATTTGTTTTTTTGCTCTTTTATAAATATCGAGCATTGGAATTGGTGGGGATAAGCTAGGTATCTGTTTAACTTTGTTGGAAACTGCATGTCCTATCACCACCACCACCACCCCCGCCTTGTGTTTGTACATAGTGTCCAGTCCCAAAAGAGTTCAGTCTGTACCAGTCAGCAATTCAAGGACTGAAGTCTGAAGCCAGCTTGTACTCGTATAATTTCATTTCCTCCACAGTGTTTTATTCTTTTTTTCCCCCAGTGTTTTAAATTCTATACCATTGGCTCAATTAATAACGTGATCAATAGAGTTACCTTATGCCCCCAGGGGGGTGATTAATGTTCTCTACCATAAAATGATAATGATGTATCTAAAGTGAACCAGAGACTTATATAATCCATACATAAATGAATGAATTTTGGATTTGTACTTAATTCTAGCCCCAATCTAAGAACAATGAGTTCTTCCGACATGGCCCTGCTTGATACTTACCCTCACAAAGAGGTCACTGAAGCTATGGGCACTGTGGCAAAGTGTAGTGAAAAAAACTAGGTGGTGCTTGGCTATCAGGAAGAATAGCATCTGGGGTCTGAAAAGTTTGTCTTCATACAAGCAGCCAACTAAGTGATACATCAACTGAGTCCACATGGAAGAAGCACGCCATTCTGCATGATCCAAGGATGTACAAAATAAAACCCAAGTCCAAAGGAGGGAATGGTACGGGAGCTTAAATTGTGAGCACCCAGTTTCCAGAAGACTAGGGATGATAGTCCAAGTCTGGACTCCATTTGCAGGGTCCCCACACGGATTAATCCCCAGGTGAATCTCCTCTGACCATAGTCTAGGGATGTGAATACCCTTGTACGAAACAGGAAGCATTCTAAAGTTGATTATGGAAGATGTCGTTAGGTGAAATAATACCGTATCCTTTTACCTCCCTTGAGACCTGTTCTAAAGTTGTTCCAGTTTCAATATTTTCTGCTTTCTTTTTGATTAGCTTTTTCTGTGTTGTCTAGCTCTTGTTGTTGGCTTTTGTTTTTGTTTGTTTGCCTCCTGTTTGTGTGTTGCTTGATTTTCTGTATCTGAAACCAAGGCAGATGGATCCATCGAGCCAGTAACTGAATTGATAATTGCCTGGAGGTGTGTACTAGGGGAGGATGAGGGAAAGGGGAGTCTGAGAAGAAACTGTTCTGATATGGATTGTAGTGATGACGGCGCAAATCTTCTTCACATGTTTGAATGAAGAGATTGTATGTCACGAAGTTTATGCCAATAAAACTATTAAAGAGGAAAGAAACATCAGGAGGAAGTTTTGCTCCCCTTCACTATATAGCACAGGCCCTGGAGAGTTTGAAGGACTTGCCCAAGGGTAAAGACAGGAAAGAAAACCGGGTTGATCGATCACTACTCTATACCAAGAAGGAGCCCTGGTGGTACAACAGTTAAGCACTCAGCTGCCATCTGAAAGGTTGGCAGTTTGAACCCACACAGCGGCTCTGTGGGAGAAAAGCCTGCTATAAAGCTTGCTCGAGATGACACTTAGAAAGCCCTTGTGTTAATCCAGGATGACTAGAGAAACAAATCCACTGACATTTACATGTATAAGAGAGCTTTCTATTAAGAAGTGATTATATATCAAGCAAACATCCCAGCCCAGTTCAGATTAAGTCCATAAGTCTGATACTAGCGCGTAAATCCCTCTTTAGACTGAATCAGCCGCACGCAATGATGGTGGGTGTAAGGTGTAAGGTGACCAGGCACGCAGGCCAGTGGGTGTAAGGTGACCAGATTTAAAGCGGGACACCACTGACTGGGGGCTGGGGGGGGGGGTTTTGATTAAAAATGTGGTCTATATGGACTAAATAGACCATTCCCTAGCTTGTTGTGCATTCTTTCCAAAAATCGGGACTGTTTTAAAATGCCAAAAATCAGGACTGTCCCACAAAAGTGAGACGTCTGGTTACCTTAGGGATCCAATGGCAGGAGAAGCATCGCAAAGCTCTGGCAGGTCTGTAGCATGGCTCCAACAACTCTCAGAGTCACTCAACAGTAGAAAGGTGAAGTCAGAGAGAGAGAGAGAGAGGAAGTTCCCAGGATCCTCCTTTTGAGAAGACCATGCCCACCATCAGGCTGTGACCTGATTGACAGGCTAGACTCCACCCCTACACTTTTATGTCTTCAATTTGACACTAAATTATCAGTGTCAGTGGTTCTGTAGTAGACTTCTGACCTTCCATACAGGAGACCCCAGTTCGAGTCCCACAATATACACCTCGTGAGCAGCCACCGCCAGTTTGCCAGTAGAGATGTGCATGTCGCTGTGACTCTGAACAGGTTGCAGACATCAGAGATCCCAGACTAGGAAGAAAGGCCTGGCCACCTATTTCCGAAGATCAACCTGTGAGAAACCCTATGGATCACAATGGTCCGATTCCTAGCCAGTCATGGGGAGGGCGCAGGATCAGACCACTTCCTTCTCTGGTGCATGGCTCACTCTGAGTCAGGGCAGACACAGCCAACCATAATGTGCTCTGTGTCAGACCCCCCATTGGAACTCTGCATGCTCACCTCCCTTAACCTGCAAAACAAGCTTGTAAAGTCAGAATTGTGGTTCCCATTTTGCAAATGGGGAAACCAAGGCTGAGGAACACACAGCTCAACAAGACTCAAACCCAACTGAGTCTGGACGCCCAGAGCCCATGTTCATGACCAGGTCCTCCCTCTGCCTCTTTGAAGGGAGTATGTGATGGAGCCATGCCCCCAGCCTCACCTGTGACCTGTCCCCTGCTCAGGCCCCAGAAGGTGGCTGCCCATCATAGCTCCATCAGCCCTCCGGAGACCTCTGGGTGCCGGGGCAGGAACTGTGAACCCCACATTTGGCAGCAGCAGGAGCCAAGGCTGCCCCCACACCCCATCCCCTCTGCCAAAGGTGTCGAGTTTCTGCCTCCTTGAAATCTGATCCTAGGGGCTTTGATCTTTGGGGCTGGTGGACCCTGGATGAGGGCAGTGGGCAGGGGCCTCCCCACCCAGGCCGTTTCTCAACCCCATTAGGAATGGGTCTGAGTGCTTTCCAAAGCTGATTAATGGCCTGCCTGTGACCTGGGCTGTCATTACTGCCCGGGCCAGGGACCCCTGGCTCAGTCCTTTGGGTCTTTACTGCTAATAAGAATTGATGTTCTCTTTGCGGCTGCAGGGCAAGTTCTATCTGGTCATCGAGGAGCTGAGCCAGCTGTTCCGATCGCTTGTCCCCATCCAGCTGTGGTACAAATACATCATGGGAGACGACTCCTCCAATAGCTACTTCCTGGGAGGGGTCCTGATCATCCTCTACAGCATCTGCAAGGTGAGGTCACCTGGGAACCTAAGGGGAGACTGGGGAATCCCTGGGTAGAACCACCCTAATTTCTTGCCAGTTAACCTCAACATATAACCAACTTTCACATAGCCCAGCTAGCAACAACTCATAATTCCGTTCTGTGGATACAGAAACTGAGGCCAAGGAAACATGGTGGGACTAAGGAGAGTCAGACCACCTCCTCTGAGAAACTCCGGAGTCAGAAGGCTGGGGCTGTCTTCCTTTTCTAGGGCTGCTTTAGCAAAGGCTATACTGTCTCACAGCCCTGTGGGCTGCTGCCGTGCCTCTGCTCTTAGGGACCTGGGTGACACTGTGCATGCCCCTCCTACTTCTGGTGCCTCCCAGTAGTCTTTGGTGTTCTGTGGCTGATAGAGGTGTCCTTTTGGTCTGGTTTTTAAAAAAGCTAATAGGTGTTACTCTCTGTTGGCTCTGGGGAGAAGGCCCTTGCCTCCCTTTGCGTCTCTTGGAGATTTTCGTGTATGTTGGCATCAGTTTTCCCCTGGGTCTAGTAGCTTCCCAGCGCAGGGACCCCAAGTCCAAACGACACACCCTTCTCCTACTCATTGTTCTCAGCAGCCTTCCTATAGACACATCTTCCAAAATCTATTTTATAAGACACCACTCAGATGGCATTTACACCCACCTTACTCTGGTATGACCTCTTAGGAACCTAGCTCATTACCTCTCAAAGATCCAATATCCAAACAAGGACACATTCACAGGCGCCGCTGGTCTTAGGCCTTTAACTTGTCTTTTTTTGTGGGACACAGTAGAACTGGTCAATTGTGGTTGTTCAGGGCTGCCGGGAGAGAACTGGGGGCTTTTCAGCCAGCACCCTGTTCTCCTTTGCAGTCATTCGACATCTGTGGCCGCGTGGGTGGCGTCAGGAAAGCCCTGAGGCTTCTCTGCACCTCTCAGGTGAGTTGGCTCCAGGGGTCCCAGTGGGGGAACCCATCTGGCACCGTTCTCAACCCCCAGAGCTCACAGCATTCTGGGGCCACCACTCTCCTGAAGGCTAATGACCATCTGTCTTGCAGAGTTATGGAGTCAGGGCTACTGGGCAGCAGTGCACGGAAGCCGGAGACATCTGTGCCATCTGCCAGGCTGAGTTCAGAGAGCCTGTGGTCCTCATGTGCCAGGTGAGTGGACTACCATTGAGGCCCCAGGGATAGCAGAGCCCCATGGAAAAGCCAGGAAAGACTGACCAGGGACCAAACCTTGGGGCTCAGGGATGAGTTTTGGGGGGCAATCTGGTCTGGCCAAGACTGGAGTCAGTCAGAATTGGATTCAAATTTGAGTATCTTAGTAACTGGGTAATGACCCATTTTTTTGGATGGGGATACTGAGTCCCAAGACTATGCAGCCAACCAAGATTCAAACTTGGCTCAGTCTGAGACCCAAAGGCCATGTTCTTCAGCAGATGTTCATCTAGTGAAATGAAGACTTCACCACCCTAAGCCTCAGTTTCCTTATCAGTGAATCTCTACCAGACTCAGCTTGGCATCCAAAGCCAACCAGATTCACTGCCCTTCAGTCAATTCCAATTCATAGCAACCTTATAGGAGATAGTAGAACTCCCATTTGGATTTCCAACACCTAAATATTTACGGAGCAGACTCCATCACCTTTCTCCTTTCAACCAGCAATCTTGCAGTTAGCAGCTCAATACATAGCCCAGTATGCCACCAGGGCTCAGAATATCCTGAGTTTGGGTGCCCGTAGAACCCTTGGTGCTGAGTAATAGGTCACCCCAACCCCCCGAAACCTGGGCAAGGGCAATAAGGCCGCCTCAAAAAACAAACAATGCAAACAAAGGAACCCAACCAACAAAAAAACCCCAATTAAGTAATCAACCCCAAAACCCCCCGGTCCTAACCCGAAAAAAACTGGCAACAACTGGTCCTTCAAGAACAAGCGGAAGGCAACTAAAAGCGCCTTTAAACCCCGAAAAAAAACCCCCCAACCGCCAACAAAAACAAAAACCAAAAAGCCCAATCAACAAAAGCAAAACCAAGCAAAACCCCCCAGCAGACCTCAGGGAGGGGGACAGAGACCACACGGCACTGTCCCCTGCTCTGGAAGCTCACGGCCTCCTGGGGGACAGGGACACATACATAAATAACTATGAAACGAGGCAGCCAGTGATAAGTGCTGTGTAAGAGAGATTCATGCCTGGTCCCCAGAGACAAGGTAGAGTGAGGAATTCCAGGCTGGAGCGGCTATTAAGGGGAGGGGTAAGGCAGGAGACCCAGGGCGCATACCCCACCAGATCTCCCCAGGGATCCTTTTTGTGCATTAGAACTTGTTTTTATTGGTATTGCTGTTTCAGGGACTGTTTTTTAATTTTTTATTAGTTTTTCTGAAGTCCTTGGGTCGCACCAACAGTGAATACACTTGGCTGCTAACACAAAGGTTAGAGGCTCGAGGTGTCTCGGCAGATAGGCTGAATGCAGTTTGTTTCTAGAACACTCTGTGGAGCACAGTTCTATCCTGACCCCTGTGGGGTGGCCTGCTCCCCAGCAGCTGGTTGCTTCTCATTCAAAACTTTTTAAAAACATCAGTCACTTGTTTGCATGATTCCAAAGTGAGAAGTCCCGAGGCTAGGGGACAACTCCGGGCAGTAAGAACTTGGGTCACATGCCGGTGTACAAAAAGACAACTGTGGGGACATGTGTGTGGCCCAGTAATGTCCCATGTGCACTTCATGGTGAGATACCAATGTGGGCTTTTCGCTTGTGACAGTGTCACTGGAAACTCACGATCATGTCACACGAGGGGGCACCGAAACTGGACAGGAACTACTAAGAATTTCCGTGTGCTCTCTTTGCAACCTTTGTGTACATGTGAAGTTTTCCCCAAAGAAAAAGCTTCTCTCAAGGAATGTTCACAAGAGGCAAAAGGTGGAAACCACCCCAGTGTCCAGCAGCTGATGGGTGGACGGACAGATAAACAAAAACCTAGTCTGCCTGTGCGGTCACATGGATTCACATACGTGCTACCATGTAGATGAACCCTGACAACATGCTGAGTGAAAGAAGGCAGACCCAGGAGGACAAACCTGTATGTACCTCTTCTATGAAAGAGCTGGAATAGGCAAACAAATGCAGAGAGGCCAAAGGAGACTGGTGGTTCCCAGGGCCAGAGGAGCGAGGACTAGACTCACTGGTGTCGAGGCCATTCCAACTGAGGGGACCCAACGGGACAGAGGAGAGCTGCCTCCATCCTGCCTCCATCCGTCCGTCCGTCTTACAGGAACAGAACGTCATCTGTCTCCTGAGGAGCAGCGATGCTTCCAAACTGCTGCCCTTGTGGTTGGCAGCCCAATGTGTAAATCCACCATGCCATCAGCACTCCTTAGAGCAGACCACAGCAAGTCATTAAATAAAACAAACATAAAAAGGAATGGCGTAAAGGTGCCCAAAAGAGAGTGGTGACAAGCCTTCCACCCTCGCCCCCACCCATTCCTCTTTGTTATCATCAGTTACTGTTGAGTCAGTCCTGACTCATAACGACCCTCAGCACAACAAAAGGAAGCACTGCCCTCTCTCGGGCCGCCTTCCCAATTGTTGTGGAGTCTCATGAGCGTCCTCCTCTTTCTCACCGGCCCTCCCTCCGCTCTACTGAGCATCACGGGACTGATCTTTACGATGTGCCCAAAATAAAGTCCCTGTTACCACCAGTCTCCTTTATTTCCAGAGTGTTCCCCAGAAAGCAAACCATTTATGGATCTGGATTGGCTACAAAGTATTTCGTCATCCTCCGACTGATGGGCATTTAATATGCTATCCCCGCCTGTTGTCATTACAAATATGGCTGTAATCATAATGTGTGAGCTGCACAGATTAATCACACCTACCTGGGTCCTCTGTGTTCATGGAATGAGTTCATTCAGATGAAGCATTTCAAAGCACATCTGGCATGTGGTCAGGGTTCAATAAATACTCCCGTCACACCAGCAGCCCTGGCAGGGCAGTAGTTAAGCATTCTGCTGTACCCAACAGGTTGGCTTTTTTAACCCACCAGCCAATCCCTAAGAGAGAGACGAGGCAGCCTGCTTCCATGAAGATGTGTAGCCTTGGAAACCCCGTGTGGCAGTTCTTCTTGGTCCTTGGAGTCAGAGCCAACTGGAAAGCAACAAGTTTGGGATTTGTCGTTGGCTACCATGCAGTCCACTTCACATGGGTACGAGCTCTTGCTCAGTGTGGCGTTACCAGTTCAGAGGGTGTATAGTTTTGACAGATACTGCTACGTTGCCCTCCATAAAGAGTCTATCAGTTAATCCAGAGCAAGTGTGACAGGCCTCCTGCCCCCGCCCTTAGCAACACTGCGTTGTCAAGCCGCTTCTGAGCTTTGCCAATATGACAGGTGAAAAACACTATCTCCATGTGGCTTTAATTTGCATTTCCCTAATTATGAATGAGGTTGAGCATCTTTTCATATGCTTCTGAGCCATCTGTATTTCCTTTTCGGTAGCAGTGATTGTCTGAGCATGATTGCCAAGGTCAAAGTCTTCATTTTCTTCCCTGCGGCCCCCACCCACTTCCTGGCAATCTCTTCCTGTCTCAGTCTGTTTGTCTCTCTTCTATTCTTCTGGTATCATTACATCTTCACAAACCCAGCAGGATTCTGGGGAGGGGCTGGACAACCGTCACCTTTGTGCCAGGTCTGGGAGCCATGGCCATGCTAGGTGGTGACTCAAATATGCCCAGGCCGAGCCCACATCCCAGCCTGGCACGGTCCTGGGAGGAGATGGGCTGTGATCGGGAGCTGGAATGGCACAGGTGTCTGTACAGGTGAAATGGCCTAATTAATTCCAAAATGCACTGAGTGAGCACTTGAACAGAGGGACAAATGCCTCCGTTCAGAGCGGTGGTTCTCCACCTTCCTCCTGCCACACCCCTTTCATATAGTTCTTCATGTGGTGGTGACCCCCAACCATAACATTATTTTCATTGCTACTTCATCACTGTCGTTTTGCTACTGTGATGAATCGGGCGACCCCTGTGAAAGAGTCGTTCAACACCCAAAGGGGTTGTGACCCACAGGTGGAGAACCGCTGACTTATCTGTTATTTCCTCAAAGAAGCCTGCTCTGCCACTGCCTCTGCAGTGCTCCTACTGTATGGCTTCATTGATATGGATTTTTCCTCCACGGTACTTATCCCAGTGGTCAGCTCAGTGGTTAACAGTGGAAATGGTTGTGTCAGATCTCTCTCCCCTCTGCCAAAGTATAAACACCTTGAGAACAAGGACCGTGTCTGTCTCATTTAGCAGCAGAACTTCAGTGTGGCTCAGTAAGCGGTGCATAGATGGGGTAGGATGGATGGATAGATAGGGATGGTGACTGGGTGAAGACGTTAGCAGGTAAGTACAGGGTGTGTAGATAGAGGTGTAAGTGGATCAGTGACTGGGAGGATGAGCAAGTGGATGAGTGGATGGATGGGTGAATGCTTAGATGGTGAATGGATAGATGGATATGAATGGTAACTGGGTGAAGACGGTAGGTGAATAAAGGGGTCTGTATAAATAACTTGGGCATTTGAGCAAATGGTTGGACAGATGGATAGGTGAACAGGTGGATAGATAGGTGAGTGGTTGGATGCTGGATGGATAAGTAGATGGACAGAGGAAAGACAGATGAGTAGTGGGAAAGAAGCCACTGGGTGTGAGTCCCCTTCAAGGTTATCAGTTTAAGCTCAGTATTTAATTCCTTTCTCCCTGCTCAGACCCAGGCCTGGAAAGCAGATTGTCTGTTGGATGAACTAGGTAGTCAGGCAGAGCATGCGCACGCCCAGAGTTTAGAACATTTGGCTCAAACAGAGCATATCTGCCCTGTCCTCCCTAAGTACTTAGGGTCTGCCTCCTGCCTGCACTGCCCGGGAGAGGACATTCAGAGCATGAAGCTGGAAATGTCGCTAAAGAGAGAGAGTCGCTGTGCTTTTAGAGAACACACTGCCCTGCGATCTTGGCTCGCGATGCAGTTGTTTTTGCACGTTTTGTGATATAAAGCGAAGAGGCCCAGAGAACACCTCCCCCTGCTTTTGCGTTGCCTGAGCCCACACGTGATCTGTGTCTGTCAGCACCGCCGTCTTGGCAGGGGAAGTTGGCCCTATCTTATAGGGAAGGTGACCTAGGTTCAGAAGGCAGAAGGCCTTGCCCAAAGCCCCACCTTTCCTAAATAGCAGAGTTCGGATTCAAACCCAAATCCAGAGGCCCTCTTGCACTGAGATGTCCTAAAGGTGGTATTAAAAGATGCCAGCACATATTCCTGGACATTTCTGAGGGTGTCCTGTCCGTCTGAGTCTGCACGCTACCTACCAGGAAGAAAGGAATGGCAGAACTGGGAGTGGAGTTGTCTCCCGCCTGTTTCCTACTTCTCTATACAGCCACCTACCCACCTCCAGTCCACCCATCCATCCAC